AGCCAGCAGTGCTCGCCTGTTGGACAAAGCCACAGTGGCAGGGGCCAAGGCAGAAGTGGTTAGGGGTGATCAGGCCAGCAGGGGAGGGTGGTTAGGGGCGATCAGGCAGGCAGGCAGAGGGGTTAGCAGGGGTGGGCAAACTTTTTGACTCGAGGGACACAATGGGTTCTTAAACTGGACCGGAGGGCCGGAACAAAAGCATGGATGGAGTGTTTGTGTGAACTAATATAAATTCAAAGTAAACATCATTACATAAAAGGGTACAGTCTTTTTTTTTTTTTTTTTTTTTTAGTTTTATTCATTTCAAACGGGCCAGATCTGGCCCACGGGCCGTAGTTTGCCCACGGCTGGGTTAGGGGCAATCAGGCAGGCAGGCAGGTGAGCAGTTAGGAGCCAGCAGTCCCGGATTGCAAGGGATCAGGCCTAAACCAGCAGTCGGACATCCCCCAAGGAGTCCTGGATTGGAGAGAGTGCAGGCCGGTCTGAGGGCCCCTCCCCCCACCCCCCACCCACACACACACACACCCATGCACGAATTTTGTGCAACGGGCCCCTAGTTATACTATATTACTAAAAAGACATAATCACAGAAAGTAAAAGGACAAACCTTCCCATTTATACAAAAAAAAAAAAAAGGTTCAGAGTTTTGTGTGTGTTATTTTAGCCCCCTGCCCACCCGCCCAGCGGAAAGGAGACAGGAGCTGCGGGGGCTCCTCACAGTAGGAGTCTGTCCTCTCTCCTCACGCAGAGGCATTCCCTGCAGATGTGTGTTTCTCTGTGCTCCTCGCTGATTTCACCTCTACTTCTTGGAATCACAACAGATCCAGGAAAGCTCTCACCCATAATCTGGGTTCCTTGTTCCTTTGCAAGAGTTTTTTATTCTAAACCTCAGAGCATGCTTTTTGTCTTTCAGCCATTTGCTCTACCAGCTCCATGGTCCCTGCACGCTTATTTCCACTTCTTCTTTGTAGTGAATCCCCATGTCCTCTGCCACCTCCCTACCTCATTCTGCAGTTCAGACTTTAAGCTGCTCCTTAGTCTATCAGGGGTGGGGAACCTTTTTCCTACCAAGAGCCATTTGGATATTTATAACATCATTCAAGGGCCATACAAAATTACCAACTAAAAATGAGCTGCTCTATTTGGTCAAACCTGTAATTAACTCACCCCTCATGCCCCGGAGGGCCAGCCTGACGACCCTGGACGGAAAGACCGTCAGTGTTTCTGTTTCTGGTTCACTTGTTGCTCTGAGGAGATTTCGGAGGTGGGGCAGCGGCCTTAGCCCTCATCTGAAGCCCGAGGACTTCTCGCACGTTGCCAGCCTCCCAACCCCCCCACCCCCCGTCCCCCCAACCCCGCACTGAGGCTATGGGTCCAAGGCACCTGCCAAGGCCAGGAGCTCTGGTGAGGGTTTATGTTTGCTTCTTCCAGAAGCTGCAGAAACGTCACCAGAATGACCGGAATTTGTGCTAATTTCTTAGATGTTTTGAAAACCAAATTTTAATCCCAAACCTTCTCAAATCATAAACTGTCTTATGCTAAGCAAAATAAGCCAGTCGGAGAAAGATAAATATCACATGATCTCACTCAGATGTGGGATATAATGATCACTCATATGTGGGATATAATGATCAACATAATTTGATGAACAAGAATAGATCCAGAGACAAATGGCAGGGGAGAGGGGGTTAGAGAGCAACCAAAGGACTTGTATGCATGCATATTCGCATAACCAATGGACACAGACACTGGGGTGGTGGGGGCTTCCCCGGGGTGGGAATGGCTGGGGGGGGGGGGGGGCGGGTCAATTGGGGGAAAATGAGACAGATGTAAAACTGTAGACAAAAAAAAAAAAAGAAGCTGTCGTAGTCCATCTGGGTTGCTACGAAAGAGAAATGCCGTGGCCTGGTGTCATATCAACAAGAGAAGTGTGTTCCTCGCAGCCTGGGGGCTGGGAGTCTAGGATTAGGAGGCCTACACATCCAGGGACTGGAGGGCCGCTTTCTGGTTCATAGCCGGCATCTGTCACCGTCCTCAGAGGTTTGGGGGGCAAGGGTCCCTCATAGGGGCACTAATCCCACTCGGGAGACGTTTGCCCTGCGGCCCTAATTACCTCCCAAAGGCCCCACCTCCTAATACCATCACCTTGGGGGTTAAGTTTCAACATGAGTTGGGGGAGGGGAACATAAATATTTAGCCCATAGCAGAGGCCTGGGGACTTTTTCACCTGGGGGAGCCTTTTTCTTCCTCACTCAGAGCCTGCGGTGAAGCTCCCTCGGGGAGGAGAGTATTGTCTAGTAAGCCTTCTATTAGGGGCACAGTCCACCAGGGCCCGGCTCAGTGTGTCTGTCCCTATTCCCCGCCTCACTTCCTGTCACAAGTCAGTGAAACTCCGCAACCTTGCTCCATGGACCAATAGTAGGACCCGCCCTGGTGACTAAAGCACTAGATCTGGAGCCCCCTTACCCCCCAACCCCCCGCCCCGGTCCCTTCACTCAGGGCCTTTGCATTTATCTCTTCTGGCCGTGGCCAGGCTGCCACAGGTCTGTGCATGCAGCAGGTGCTGGGCCTGCCGCCTAGCCTGGGCCGGAGCTGCGACATCGCTGGCAGCCGATGAAACGGACACGAGCAGAGCAGGAGAGCCGACTGCCTGGTGCCTGTGTACTTACCCAACAGATACTTTTGAACTTCCGTCCTGTGCAGACATGGTGCAAAGTTCCCCTGGAGCGGTCAGGCATCCTCTACGCCGGAACTGGCTTGATCCTCCCCTTCGCAGTGATCCTGTTCCCCTCTGCACCTGCCGAACTTGCTCACCTTTCACCCTTTTCCCTATGGACCTGGGGTCTCATGAGTTTAACTTACTTGGATTCAATCTCGGTTCTTCCTAATAAACATCTGTGTCTGTCAGCTATAGCTGTGTATCAAAGTGCACCAAAACTTAGTGTTTTAAAGCAACACTCATTTTGTCACCGTGATTCTGTGGACGGGGAACTTGAGCAGGGCCAGGCCCTGCCGCATGGTGTCACCTGGCAGCTCTTGTAACACTGTCGAATGGCTGCCACAGTCCCTAAAACAAACACAAGCATGCTAACCCTGGCTGGGCTCTGTACCTGCACCAGCCGTCCTCTGTGTTTGGGGAAAGAAAAAAAAATGCTTAAGGAAATGCAAAGATATTGTCCATTCTACGATGAGGAGACTAAGGCTGGTCCAAAACATTTCCTTTCTTTAAGAAAGAAAAGAAAACGGTATTTTAGGTAGCCTCTAGATTGGACCACTAAGCTAGTCCCTTCTCTTGACCCTGTCCCCACCACACCCACCTGCTGCCTGGAGTTCTCATTCAGGCTGGGTCTTTGTAAAACCAAAGCATCAGCACAGATGTGGGTGCCACAACACAGAACCCAGTGTCAAAGGCTGCACAGCCCTCCCGGCTCAGCCCTGGCCCAGCAGGTTGTTTCAGGAGATGCCTGGAGCTCAGACAGGAGGTTCCTGTGTCGCTGGGGCTGCGAGGCGCAGCTCCGAGTTAGCCCTTCTCTGCTCGCTGTAGCCTGGCCTGCTCGCGGCCACAGTCCGGGTGTTGGTGGGATGATGCATGAGACAGTGCACAAAGCCCCTGGCGCCATCGCTGCACCTGGTAGGTGTTGGGGGCAGTCCCGCCTGCAGACAGCTGGCGTGTCCACTCACTGTATCCACCAGCGCGGAGCAAGGAACGAGGCCCAGGAGGCTGTCCCCACCCGGCACTGCCCCCTGCGAGGGCTGCTCCTCCTCCTGCCCGGGAGGCTGTGCAGCCAGGGGTCGGCCCTGTATGTACATCCCGGCCAAGTCCTCCCACAGGTGGGGGGTCGGCTGCAATGCGTTGTCCCATGTGATGTGTAGAAGCGACCCACGTGCCACACGGTGTGCCGTTCACTGCGGGGAGGCTCGAGGTAAACCTGTTTTACTTCTTTTTCACTTCGCGCTGCCTTGACCGAGCCAGGAGCCAGCTGTTCACGCGAACGAGCCTTCTGGACCAGACCCGGCCCCAGAGCCGAGCATCGGCTCCCGGGGAACCCAGCGCCCCGCCGCGGGCACGTGGCGCGCCGAGGGTGGTGCGGCGCTGGAGCTCCCCGCAGGCGTCCGCGGGCGGGAGGCGCCGGAGGAAGCCGCTGCCGACCGCCCTGCCGCTTCCCGGTGCCATTTCGCTACGTCGCTGGCTCCTAAAGCCTCAGAACAGATGCATCAGGACCCGCCCTTGGACGGCGCGGTGGGCGCTCCCAGCTGCCCGGGAGGGCCCGGCGTCCGCCCCCGCGACGGCTGAGCCTGAGCCCCGGCGACCCGAGGCTGCAGCCCGGGCTCTGTCTTCTGCAGTTTAGTCGCCAGCGTGACTGGCCGCTCCTCCCCGCGCGGCCTGGTCGGGGTGCTGGTGGGAAGCTGATTGGGGTGCTGGTCGGGTGTTGGTCGGGGTGCTGGTCGGGGTGCTTATCGGGGGGCTGGTCGGGGTGCTGGTCTGGGGGCTGGTTGGGGTGCTGGTCGGGTGTTGGTCGGGGTGCTGGTCGGGTGTTGGTCGGGGTGCTGGTCGGGGTGCTGGTCGGGGGGCTGGTCGGGGTGCTTATCGGGGGGCTGGTCGGGGTGCTGATCGGGGTGCTGGTCGGGTGTTGTTCGGGGTGCTGGTCGGGGTGCTGGTCGGGGTGCTGGTCGGGGTGCTTATCGGGGGGCTGGTCGGGTGTTGGTCGGGGTGCTGATCGGGGTGCTGGTCTGGGGGTTGGTCGGGGTGCTGGTCGGGGTGCTGGTCGGGTGTTGGTCGGGGTGCTGATCGGGGTGCTGGTCGGGTGTTGTTCGGGGTGCTGGTCGGGGTGCTGGTCGGGGGGCTGGTCGGGTGTTGGTCGGGGTGCTGATCGGGGTGCTGGTCGGGGTGCTGGTCGGGGTGCGTGCAGGAGCAGCCAGTCCCTGCGTTGCTGTCTCTCTCCCACGCTCCCTCAGAACCTATGGGAAATGCCCTCCCGTGAGGATAAAAAGTCAAAAGCTTTACAGTGAAGCGGTTTAGTGAACAATAATGATCCCCTCGGCCTCCCCGCTGCCCTCGGGCCGGCCCCAGAGGCGCCCGCCAGCGCCCCGCCGCTCCTGGTTTTCCGGGAGCCTGTCTCGGGCTGCTCGGACCCGGTGCCCGCGAGGTGCCGATCCGCCCCGCGCGTCCCTGCTGGCGCCCTGCTCCCAACCGCGCTCTTCCTTAGAACTTCAAACGGCTTCTTCCTCGCTGTACGAAGTCAGTATTTTAGAAACTGGTTTAAATAAAAATAAAAAGTTATTTTAAACCACTTCCATCAAACCTGAGCGAGGCCGCCTCCTGCCCTCAGCCCAGCCTGGGCGGGGCGGGCGGCGGGAGGACGGGCGGACGCTCCCAGCTGCCGGCGACCCTCCCCGGCGGCCGGCGGGCCCTGCTGCGCGGGAGTCAGACAGACCCGGCTCTCCCGGGTTCCTTGCGGGGCGGGGCGGGGAGTGGAGCTGGGAGCGGGGCGGGGCGGGGGGGCGGGGCGGGGCGGGGAGTGGAGCTGGGGGCGGGGCGGGGCGGGGGGGCGGGGCGGGGCGGGGAGTGGAGCTGGGGGCGGGGCGCGGGGGGCGGGGCGGGGCGGGGAGTGGAGCGGGGGGCGGGGCGGGGCGGGGCGGGGAGTGGAGCTGGGGGCGGGGCGCGGGGGGCGGGGCGGGGAGTGGAGCTGGGGGCGGGGGGGCGGGGCGGGGAGTGGAGCTGGGGGCGGGGCGCGGGGGGCGGGGCGGGGCGGGGCGGGGAGTGGAGCTGGGGGCGGGGCGGGGAGGGGCGGGGAGTGGAGCTGGGGGCGGGGAGGGGCGCGGGGGGGCGGGGCGGGGGGGGCGTGGAGCGGCGCCGGGGGGCAGGGAGGGGCGGGGCGGGGCGTGGAGCGGGGGCCGGGGCGGGGCGTGGAGCGGGGGGGGGGGGGGGGAGGGCGCGGAGGGGCGGGGCGGGGCGTGGAGCGGGGGCCGGGGCGGGGCGTGGAGCGGGGGGGGGGGGGGGGGGCGCGGAGGGGGGGGGCGGGGGCGCGGCGGGACGGGACAGGGCGCATTGCTCAGGGAGAGGCAGGCATCCCTTCCTCCCTGACGCCGAGGCAGGGGAGCGGCGGGCGGACGACCTCGGCGGTGCCCTCCAGCCTCCGTGCAGTCACCCACCGCTTTCCAAATAGCACCCGAGGGCACCGACCTCAGCCTGTGCCAACATGAGTTTCATGCTGCAATCATCCTCCCAAAAAGCATGATGCATTTTTTGGAACTGTTACAGTTTTGTAACAAGGGGAGTAAAAAGCGATTTTTCTGGAAAGTCATAATTTCATTCAGCTCATGCCCATTTCAGAGCTCAACTCGTTTCCCATGTCAGAATTCTTTGCAGGGGTTGTGAGAGACCCCCCTCCCGCCCCCCAGTGAAAATTCGGGTGCTTCAGTTCTCAGAAAAGTACACACTTCCAACTGCCATCACAGTATCACTGAAGAGCTAAAGGGGCAGTTTTAAACGCTCCGGCCTGGCCTCGTCCCCGCTGGCCTAGCTCCGCCCTCGCTGACCTGGCCCTGCCCCCGCTGGCCTAGCTCCGCCCTCTCTGACCTGGCTCCGCCCCCGCTGGCCTAGCTCCGCCCTCGCTGACCTGGCCCTGCCCCCGCTGGCCTAGCTCCGCCCTCGCTGACCTGGCTCTGCCCCCGCTGGCCTAGCTCCGCCCTCGCTGACCTGGCCCTGCCCCCGCTGGCCTAGCTCCGCCCTCGCTGACCAGGCCCCGTCCCCGCTGGCCTGGCCCCGCCCTCTCTGACCTGGCCCCGCCCCCGCTGGCCTAGCTCCGCCCTCGCTGACCTGGCCCCGCCCCCGCTGGCCTAGCTCCGCCCTCGCTGACCAGGCCCCGTCCCCGCTGGCCTGGCCCCGCCCTCGCTGACCTGGCCCTGCCCCCGCTGGCCTAGCTCCGCCCTCGCTGACCTGGCCCTGCCCCCGCTGGCCTAGCTCCGCCCTCGCTGACCTGGCCCTGCCCCCGCTGGCCTAGCTCCGCCCTCGCTGACCTGGCCCTGCCCCCGCTGGCCTAGCTCCGCCCTCGCTGACCTGGCCCTGCCCCCGCTGGCCTAGCTCCGCCCTCGCTGACCTGGCCCTGCCCCCGCTGGCCTAGCTCCGCCCTCTCTGACCTGGCCCTGCCCCCGCTGGCCTGGCCCCGCCCTCTCTGATCTGGCCCTGCCCCCGCTGGCCTAGCTCCGCCCTCTCTGACCTGGCCCTGCCCCCGCTGGCCTAGCTCCGCCCTCGCTGACCTGGCCCTGCCCCCGCTGGCCTAGCTCCGCCCTCGCTGACCTGGCCCTGCCCCCGCTGGCCTCGCTCCGCCCTCGCTGACCTGGCCCTGCCCCCGCTGGCCTAGCTCCGCCCTCTCTGACCTGGCCCTGCCCCCGCTGGCCTAGCTCCGCCCTCGCTGACCAGGCCCTGCCCCCGCTGGCCTGGCCCCGCCCCTGTTGGCCTAACTCCGCCCTCGATAGCCTGGCTCCGCCTTCGCTGCCTCGGTCAGAGACCGGGCTCCTGCTTCCCCCAAGGCCATACTGTTGATCCGCAAATGGTGGCCAAGTTCTCATCGCAGCTTTGCTCAGAGTTACTTTGAGTTATAACCTGTTCCTTAAACTTTGGAAATTGACCCTATTCTCAATAGTATTGACTCTTTCCCAGCGTAGTTTGAGGATCAAGGTATTCAGTAAAAATTCTAAGAACCACTTCCAGCTTTGCATTGGTCTATTCCTATGATGCTTGGTGAAATGCACATACCTGTTAACCCCTCAAGAACTCTGTTTTTTCCTCACCTGAGGGTATGTTTATTGATTGATTGATTGATGGAGAGAGAGAGAGAGAAATCTAAGTATGTACCCTGACTGGAAATCAACCCGCAGCTTTTGTTGTTGTTGTTAATCCTCACCTGAGGGTATTTTTCCATTGATTTTTAGAGAGTGGTACAGAGGGGGAGAGACAGAGAGAGAGAGACATTGAGTGAGAGAGACAAATTGATTGGTTGCCTCCTGCATGTGAAAGGCGCGCAGCCCGCCTCTCCGGGCGGTGCGGGAGGAGGAGTCTGGCTGCTGGGCTCTGGGATCCCTCCGCGGCCGCTGGCCTCCCCGGAGCGGGTCCGAGTGTCCGGGCCGGCTGCGTGGTGGCCGGCGGCGGGCCGTGGGGTGGGGCCGGGCGGCGACCGACCGCGGGGGAGGTCATGGGAGCGGAAGGCCTCACCGCCTGGCTCTTCCCTCCCTTCCCCCGTGGTCGGCTCCCTGCTTGCCTGCGCTGGGGCCGGGGGTCCATGCGGCCCTTGGGGCCCGGTCGGGGGGACCGGGGCCTGCGTGGGCCAGCCGCCGGGCCCCATGGGGGGGGGCATTGGCTCCCCGGCCCACGGCGGGAGCCCGGCATGGGCAGCCGCCCGTCCGCTGCCCCCCGGACCGGGCCCAGTGCAGCAGCGGCGGCAGCGGAGTGGGGCGCGTGCCCTAGCTCGGGGAGGCCGCCATGCTGCAGTGCACCGGCCCCATGGCCAGGCCTGCTCCGAGCGGATGCCGCTCCTCCAGAGCTGGGCCGCTCCACCGGCCGCACCCCGTTTGCTGGGCCTGTGCCGCCCAGACGCGCTGGAGTCCCAGTCTGCCCACAGGCCAGCTGCGGGGGCTGTGCGGGGGGCCATCCTGCCTTGTGGCGAGTTCGAGCGGCAGCGGCAGGAGCCGGGCAGGGACTGCGCCCTCCATCTTGCCTTGGGTCCTCCATCTTGGGACAGAGCCATGCGCGCCCTCCATCTTGCCTTGGGTCCTCCATCTTGGGACGGTGCCATGTGCTTCCTCACGGGAAGAAGCCGCTGCTAGCCACACCCAGGATTTCTCTGGACTAACCAATAATAATCAAGGGAAGTGCACGCCATCACTATGACCACATCCTGTACCGACTCGCGCCTGGCCAGTCGGCGGGACCCACAGTCCCCTCTCCTGCCCTCACTCCACCCCCCTTTAAAACCCCCTGTCCCATCAGGCCTCGCTCTCTCTCTCGGCCACTGGAGCTTACCGTTGCATCGGTGAGTGTGGCAGGGGAGCCAAACCTAGGTTTGAAATAAATGACTCTTTGCTTTTGCATCGGACTGACTGGCTCCCTGGGGGTCTTGGGAACTTTGAAATCTGGGCACAACACATGCGCCCTGATTGGGGCGGGGTGGGGGCCTGCAACGGAGGCATTGAACCCGGGACCCTTCACTCGGAGGGCCCACGCCCTGTCCACTGAGGGAAGCTGGGCAGGGAGGACACTCCACCTAACAGCCACCCTGCAGGGCGAGACTCATATTACAGGTGACATGCTAACTACATTCACGCCCGCCTCTGTCAGTAAATACTGACAATCTGCTCCCAGAGAGGCCGTTGGTTTCCACTGAGCCGGTAAGAGGTTGTCACAGCTAAGTGGGGTTTGCTGCAACATCGTTGGCTGTACCCAGGTCAGCATCAGGCACAGCTACCCTGTGCAGGCAGCTGCTAAGTAGAAATGCTAATAGCACCAACTTTTGTCTATTCATTTGATTTTCTGACCTTTTAAATTTTTTAATACATATGAACGGAATAAATGTATTCTCACTTAAGTGAAATCCAAATCAATACAGACTAAACAAAGTTCACCTTAACATCTCCCTTTGTCTTGCCCCACTAATCACTGTTATGAGTTTAATAGGGAGCCTTCAAGAGCTTTCCCGTCTGTGCACTGACAAGTACATGTATGTAACATAAATATGCACTCTAGCTGAGTATGACACACTGTGCAAGTTACTACACATCTGAATCGCCCTCCACGCACAGCTCTGCAGAATGTTCATACTCACACTTGTACAGTGCACGTGTTTTCCTACAAGTTGATGTCTAGGCATAAAATTTCTGGGTCAAGAGACACCATTAAGTTGATGTCTAATAAGGCTGTAACAATTTACACTCACACCCACAATGTACCCTGGCCCCACATCCTTACACATTGCTATCAACCTTTTAAGCTTTCGTGCTGTATGAAAAATTACTGTGGGTCATTAATTGTAATAATACTGATTGGTGCCTACTGTGTGTCAGGTGATGTTCCGTTACTACAGAAACTTACTGTAATGAGAGAGAGGGTCCTGCCTTCATGGGGTGTCATGCTAGTCAGGGAAAGATGAGACACAGATAAATAATCCTATATAATAAAGAGCTAATATGCTAATTAGACCTGACAGCAGAACAACCTTCTGGAATGACCAGTGGGTGGGGGGTGGGGCCGGGAGGCAGCCGGGGCCACCACCTCTGCGGGGTGATCGAGGGGGCGGGGTCCACCTGGAGACGGTGGTGGCAGCCGGGGCTCCTGGGGCCGAGCCCCTGGCACAAATTTCATGCATTGGGCCTCTAGTAAAAATATAATATCTGGTAAGGAGGTGGCGAGAAGGAATTGGATGGGGATGATGGATGAACTCAATGCAAAGAGCATGG